TCCCGAGACCGCGGATTTGCTGGCGATTCATGCACCTAGCTTGTTTGATTGATGCTTCATTTGTAGTGTTAGTTACCACTGCTGCGAATTTGCACTATTATATACTATGGCTTTGACATTCGCGTTGTCGGGTGCAGCGGCGACCCTACCATGTTCGAGGAGTTCTGGCGGGGGACGGGGTCCGCCGCCGAGATCGTCATCCCGGGGTGGCAGACCATGAGCTACTTCTCTGACGTCGGCAACGTGTGCTGGTTCCTGGAGCCGGGCCTGGACCACGAGGTGCGGCGGCTGCACCGGCTGGTCGGCAACGCCGCCGTCGACGGGTACCACGTCCTCGTCGGCACCGGCTCCACGCAGCTCTTCATGGCCGCGCTGTACGCGCTGTCGCCGCGCACGGACTCCGCCGCCGGCGCCGCGCCCATGAGCGTGGTGTCCACGGCGCCCTACTACTCGGTAAGTTCCCTCAAAACCCAGAGTCCCCAACAAACAATGGATCGGAGTCGGAGCTACAACGAAGGCCGCCCCGCGTGGTCCAGCAGCAAGAGCGAGACGCATCGCTGTCGCCTTCGCGCTCTGTCGCTCGCTGTGGCGCGTGGGTTTGCTTCGCATTGGTAGCCTAAATTAATTAACGCATCGTGCTGATGAATTTTCGCGTGAAGAGGATGGCAAGACCCGTCATTATCTTATCATTCCCCACACCCCCACTTAATGATGAGGAGATAGAGCAGAATTCAAAGCCGTAGAGGACTAGAGGGGGACACTGATGGCGCCACTCATCTTTGTTCCCTGTCCCTTGTCCCAGCCCAGAAACTACCACTTCCAGCCAGCCTTCCTGACTTCCTCTCCTCGCGCTCTCTGCTCATGTGATGAAGCATATGGGCTGCTGCTCATGTCTCCTCCTGACCCTGGCCCTGATGGGGATGGCATCCATCTATTCTCGCCGCCGTAGGGCCGGGCCGGCATTACTGTGCTGTGATTGCCGATCTGATTTGTGGGCAGCCGGAGCCGACATGTCTCGTTAAACAATGATCCATCATTAACAGCTCCCTTTCTAGAATCAGATCAGAATCTTAGTGTGTACTTGTGGTTAGGTTTGGTTAGGTTAGGTTAGCATTATGCATGTTAGGCGGGAGGCCTGTCCTCCTTCGAAATTGAGCTCCACTCCATGTGCACAGCCGGCGCCGGCAGGAATATTGCTTGCTCACCACATGCCGGCCCGGCACCGGCACCCATGTATATATGTTCATGTGCCATGATCCATCTCTGCTAACCTGGGAGGGAGAAGAGGGGAGCACAGAGATTCCATTTTCTACGTTTTCAGTTCAGTTATAAACATCATGTGTCTGCACCATATCCAGTGCTATGTGTTCAGTAATGGGACTCGGCGTCAGAGTCGACAGTCTGAGCCTGTGTTTAGTTCCTGAAATTTTAGAATTTGGCTACTGTAGCACTTTCATTTTTATTTAGCAATTATTGTTCAATCATGGACTAATTAGCCTCAAAACGTTCGTCTAGTTTTTTTCGTCTATATTTAATACTCCATGCACGTATCGCAAAATTCGATGTGGTGGCTACTGTAGCACTTTTTGGGAAAGTTTTTGGAACTGAACACATAAATTTCCCATACCCGGAATTCTGAATCGAACCATACTAGTACTGTACTCTGTCCGGTAGTGAGTCAATGCACTGACCTGATCTGATCTGTGTGCTGTGCACCGTGCAGTCCTACCCTGCCGTCACTGATTTTCTTCAGTCGGGGCTCTTCCGCTGGGCCGGTGACGCCAACACGTTCAAGGGCGACACCTACATCGAGCTGGTGTGCTCGCCGAACAACCCCGACGGCGCCATCCGCGAGGCCGTCCTGTCCTCCGAGTCCAGCATAGCAGTCCATGACTTGGCGTACTACTGGCCGCAGTACACGGCCATCACCAAACGCGCTGACCACGACATCATGCTCTTCACCGTGTCCAAGAGCACAGGGCACGCCGGGACGAGGATCGGGTAAAGTTGATCGATCTCGCCGTCGGTGAAAGGTTGCTGGGACGAGCAGCGGCAGCGGCTGATGTTCCGGTGAAATGTTTCCGCGTGCAGGTGGGCGTTGGTGAAGGACCGCGACGTTGCGAAGAGGATGACCAAGTTTATTGAGCTCAACACGATCGGGGTCTCCAAGGACTCGCAGCTGCGCGCCGCCAAGGTCCTCAGGGCGGTCTCCGACGCCTACGAGCTCCCGGAGACGAAAGAGGCCCACCGCCTGTTCGACTACGGCCGGCGAAAGATGGTGGAGCGCTGGAGCATGCTGCGTGAAGCGGCCGCCGCCTCGGGCATCTTCAGCCTGCCCGAAGAGACCTCGGGCTTTTGCAACTTCACCAAAGAAATGGCAGTGACTAACCCTGGTATGTACATAATGTACCCCATTGTTTCTGAACCACCAACGAAGGCACTGCTCAGTGGTCACCACTCGCTGAACGCCCATGGCGTACGTGCTCGTGCTTGCAGCGTTCGCGTGGCTGCGCTGCGACAGGGAAGACGTGGAGGACTGCGCGAGCTTCCTGCGCGGCCACAAGATACTGACGCGGAGCGGGAGCCAGTTCGGAGCGGACCCGAGGTACGTCCGTGTCAGCATGCTCGACAGGGACGACGCCTACGACATCTTTGTGAAGCGCCTCTCCTCTCTGCAATGAAGATGATCTGCCACGCAGGGAGATGGAGGAGGATCCGATGCCACCCGGCCGGCGTCGACATGCCGGTCCGTGGGACTGTTGGAGCATGAGTAGGGCAGCAGTCTTCAGTAGGAAGACGCGCAGGAGGAGCAACGTTTTGTTTTGCTTTTTGTGCTGTATGTTTTGTGTTGTTCGGGATGTCGCATCATCTCAAGATTCTTATAAAGGTTTCATTTTTTTCCCTCTTGCTAATTGCTATGTGAGACTGAACTGACGTAACAAAAAATCAACATAAATTGGAGAAAGGACAAGAAAAGATTGTTGGAACCTCACTAAGTCACAATTCAAAAAACGGGGCAGCTAGCGGCCGGACGTCTGGCCACAGGACGTGTTCGGACGCTGCTCCTGTCAAATGCACCACCACGCCCCGTCCCGTCCCCGCGTAAAGGAGAGCACCCACCGCGCCCGTGTCACCTACAACATCATCGTCCCTTTCCCCGCCGTGCCCTGCCGCCAAGCTCGAACTGTCGTGGCAGGACGGAGGGAAGGGAAGAGAGGGGAGGGAGAGGGCGAGGTGCGCCGCACGAGGTAGGAGCCAAAACTCTGCGGCATGCCGTTGTCTGCCAGCCACCGGCGCCATTGCAACATGTGCAACACCCGATCTACTTTTGAAACATCCACATGAACACATTTGCAACATGCGTCCGAAGACAAATGGAACACTTGAAACATGCATTCGCTTGAAACACTTGAAAAGTCATTGCAAACATACGCAACATCCATGTAAAACACTTGCAACATATGTGTAACACATATGCAACATCTAAATTAATAAACACGCTTGCAACATACGTCTAAAAAACACTCACACACGGCAAAAGGACAACAAGACTGGTGATGCACTACCACGAGTACCTCCATCATCTCGAGAAATACAGTTGCGACTGGACCGAGTCCCCGCCTCACCACTCGGAGTGTAGTTAGGTCCCCTAACTAACCACATTGAACTGACTTGGGCTATCCCACTACTCAATGACATATAAGACCTCCTCTATTTCTTTTGTAACTTAGCCTCACATAGCATTATAACATTATAAAGGGAGGTCGGGGTATTTCCCTCTCTACCTCTCGGCTAGATGACACTAGAATCCTCTTGTGGGTCACAATCATCCCACCTGAACTAGATGTAGGGCAGTCCTCGAGTGAGCCATCCAAACAATAAGCACGACAATCAAATTTTACTAGTTGATGCTACGAACCGTCAACAATAGGGTATTACATATGGTAGTAGTCGAGAATGACGGAGTGGGTCGGACCGAGCCGAGTATGGTCAATGGACGACGGCTTGGTCCTGAATTGATAGAGGAGCAACCCTTGACTCCTTGCACTACTACTAGTCTGCTACTTCATCACCATTGAAGAAGAAGGTGAGAACGGCCAAGAGTGGGTTGCGTGAATACAAGTCCAGCAACGTGGTGGTGGAAGGGAAGGCTATACGAGATATCTTCTTCTTCTTGGAGATTAGGAAATCTGTAATAGCTAGACACACTGTTGACCTACGTGTTGTCGGAGGTGGCGAGTTGAACTTGAGATCGTGTAGTATATTATGTTTTTTTCAGTTATTAGTAAGGCTAGTATAAATGTAGAACCCTAACAAAATAGAACAAATTTGTTAGATATCACATTAATAATACGGGACAGTCGTACACGCTCAACTCAAACCATCGCACATACCAAAATATTCTTTAGCATCAATACTGCTTCACCCTCAGTAATATGTTTATGACAAACCTTTAAAACTTTAAACATCTATATAAGCTTTTTAATTATTTCATTGAGTTTGGAACATACAAGTTATATGTATAGAATTGTGGAGTATTTGAGAATACTTCTCAAATATTTTAAATCATTTTAAAAATATCATATTTTATTATAGAAGAAATTAATAACAAGCAAATATGGCATGCATATTTTGGAGGGAAGTACTACAATGCTAACGTCATACAGAGAAGGTCTGACCCATATACACTTTGAACTATAGAGTATTGGGCCGAGGTCCCCAATGCACCACTACTAGGCTAGAGATGTTGGGCTGGGATTGTTTTTTGAGGAAACATGTTGGGCTGGGATCATAGTAGGGGATAAAGACACGGGCTCCCAAACAGGCCCAACGCTACAAAAACCAGCCCCCTTCTTCTCTTCTCCTCTCCCAACTCCCAAGTGGCCACTGCCGTCTCCGGCCACCGCCCATGGCCATGGCTTCCTCCACCACCTCCAACACGGCGGCGCTCTCCCGCCTCGTCGACCGCACCCGGGTCCCGGACCCCACACTGCAGCGCCATGCGGTTGCGGCCTTCTTCCGCCACCTCCTCTCCCTACTCGCGCCCCTCCCCGCGGCCGCCCACGACGCCGCCTCAGCCCTCCTCGCTTCGCCCCACCCTGCAGTCGCCGCGCACGCTGCGGCCTCGCTCGCCCGTCTCGCCGCCTCCCGCCCCGACCTCCTCCCCTCGGGCCTCGCCCTCCCGCTCCTGGCTCCTCATCGCGCCCCTCGCGGCATCCCCGTCTCCCCGGCTCGCTTCCTGCCTCGTCAAGGCAGTCTCCGCGCTCGCAGCCTGCGCCCTCCGCTCCGGCTCTCGCTTCCCGCCCCACGACCACCCCTTCGTCCAGGCGCTCGCGTCCGGGGCTGAAGGCGCGCGCGCGGAGCTGACGCGGCAGGCAGCCAGGATGGTTGCCGAGGAGGTGGATTGGGTGGTCGGGTTTCTGAGGCCGTTCGTGATGTTCTCCGTGGTGAGGAAGGGGGACGCCACATTTGCGAGGGATTTGATCGGCGCACTGGCCGCAGCAGCCGTGGCAGCAGGGAAGGCTGGTGTCGCGATCCCGGTTCTGAAGATGCTCGAAGACAGCATGCTGCATTTCGGCCGCGGGGATGATCAGGTATTTGTGCGGTCTAATACTCAAAGGATGATATATGTTCTCTTACTCTCAGTGATGCTGTAGCTGCCAATGCTGCGAGCGGTTGTGCAAATAGGAGCCCACCGATGTGTATTATAATGTTTTGGACTAATCCTGATAGCAGTTTTGGTGTGCATCCCATCATGGAAGTGATGGCGTCATCAATGATTCCACTGTTATTGTCTAGTTCATATTAGTTCATAGATCACATTGTAGTAGCAAGAAACAAAAAGTAGGGGAAAAAGTTGTAGGTTTGAGAAGCATATTATATATGTAATATCTGGAGATCTGTTACATTGTGGTATGCTGTTCGCAATAAAATTATCTTCATCTGTGAATTTTAATTACTTTTTTTTCCAGGAAGTGCGGCTATGGCTTAGTTCTGCGGAGTGCTTGGTTGATTCTTATGTGGTGCTACTGAGGAAGTTAGTTCATGCTCAAATAGTACAACTTTCTACCTTTCTCTTAATTTGTGCAATGAAAGATTGGAGTTACTAATGGCTGCGAATTAGCCAATGTGATGTTCGGATGATCTCTACACTAGGTTATTCTTCTTATTAAGACCAAAAAATTTGTTTATGCTCTTAATCGAGATGATATCTGCTGGTATCTAGAACTTTTTAAATGGATTGAGGATGGCCATTAGTGGAATCTTTATCACTTGATGAAAATTTAATACTGTTGTGGAATCCAATTAATGGACTTATCCATTTGGGCTGGGTTTGTTACTTTGTTTGTACCTGATGCATTCTGTCGACATACATACCTATCAGTATACTTCTCCACTTGACTTATCATGATGTATGAAACAACAGCGTATAATTAAAAAAAATCATATGCAATATTTTCTGAAATTTGGTAGATTTGCGGTGTGTATACTCCTGTATGGTGTGATGTTATGGTGTTATTACATCATTTCTTTGGTGCGTGGACTATTCTGTAATTGTTATGGGCAGATTCCTTGCTTTAGAAGTACCCATCGTATAAATATTCCTGTGATGCATTAACAGTATACATTAGTTTTTCAGTTTTCTTGTAGATTTGTTTTGACATATGAATTATGTTTTTGTTACTTAATTAGGTTGACTTGACATGTGAACTTCTCCCTTGTTTTATTACTCATTGATGAGGGGCAACTAATCGATGTTTGTTTTCTTGCGATTACTTGAATTCAAGTTCTTATATGATTGCTGTGCATCATATCATCTATATAACATACTGGTGACTTTCTTTGTTTAACAGCCAACATATGATGCTCAAGCAAGTAGTGCGACATTGATGGGAACACTCATATCACAGTGTTCATTTCATCAAAAGTTTCTGGGAATTGATTCAACAGTTTTTGGGTTATCAAAACATCTATTCTCAGTGCAAAGGGACCTTGGATTATGCTATCTACCTGAGATTTCTGTTGTCCTTAGCTCTCTTTCTTACTCTCTCACTGGGCTAGAGTTTGAACATGAACAGCTAGCTGGCTTGAAACTTCTGAGCTTTTTGATTGATTGGAAATATGAAAATGGTACGTTCCCAAATATTTATAGTCACAAGCCCTCTGTAAATTTCCAAAACCAACTGTTGGAAGGACTAGGAACTAGGTTCTCTTATTTTACCAATGTTAAGCTATTGTGTTTTGTTTCATATCAGTATCCTTCTTTAGAATGAAAAGTGAATTGGGAAGCACGGAATGGGTATCATCTTTCTCTTCTCTAAATTTGATGAGAATTTTGCTTTGCTCTTCATGTAATAGTCCTCATGGAGAAGGTTTGCAGCATACAAATCACTTGGGCTGAATAAAACCACCATTTTTAGGGCTATCTATCTATATTTTCAACGAAAACCCAAACCATGTTGTTCATATATTTGTCAGTTCATGTTTGCATGTACGTGTTTCTTGTGGGCTGGACAAAAATCAATGAAACTCAAAGTAAACTGGGTGCACAATGATATGATAGATAAGCTAGACAAACATGTCTCCAGAAATAAAAATAGCAAGATTACTGTTTTACTTGTTAGCAGTAAAATTTCAGATTTTTATGACAAACATTGAAACATACCATGGCCATTAACATTTGGAAACAAAGGGCATATTTGAATACAGAGCTGGTGATGTTTAGTTCAATCCTTTTATAGGGTGTGTACAGTCAATCTAACCTTACTTTTGTTACCATTGACATAGCATACAATGCTTGTTTATTGTTATCATTGGAAAGTTTCATATATGTGTATGGCTGCAGTGCGTGACAGTAAAGAACGAACACAACAGGTCAGTGTGGAGCTTCTTTGTGTTCTGGCAGTTATCAACCTTACCATTTCGCCATCCAAATCTGTGAAAGCAGTGGCATATCATGTTCTGTCAAGGTTCAGCTTGTTTGTTTTAGACTTGCCAGCTTCTCATTCATCAGAGGAACAAGATATTTCAACGAGTTACCACATAAGCAAACCTGCACTTCTTCTTCCCAAATTTCTGCATCATCTATGGTCTAAGGTGATCTTTTTGTCCTTAGTCCATTGTGTCTGTTTTTTCCTGCATTTGTTGTGAGTTTTTTTTGGCATCACATTAGATGATAGTGATTACATGCGCTTTGGCAGTCCAATACTTTGCAGCCTTGCTAATGATTGCAGATGGTGATGTTGTATGATACCGTATGTTAATGTGGTTAACCCTGTTATACTTGTGTTGCTTTGACTTCCAGTCCATCCCCAGAAATCCTGTTTTGGATTTCTTGTGTAGTATGTACTCATATAAGTTTATCCAATTTCTGCTTCCTGTCCACAGCCATCTTCATCAGGCGTCACTTTTATGAAGCACACAGCTACCAAGGCTTCACCTGATTCTGGTCAGAGTGACTTGGAAACAAGTTATTGGACTCATCAAATAAATGCCTATCTGACAGTCCTTCTCAGAGAAAAGCATACATTAGATGCCTCGTCTTCAAAAAAGACATCTTCAGGCCGAGGTCTTGTGATTTCTATAAGCTGCCTATCGATTTATCTTTATATGATCCTCTAACTTATTGCTCCATCTAATTTCCTGCAGTAGCCATATCATCTCTGATAAGCTCTGTAGCATCTGTTTTGGTAATGCATCCAAAACTTGGTACTTCTGCAGCAGAATCTTTGGCCATGCTTGGCGCATCAGACCCAAGGTTGGGTATGCCACTGTTTGTAGCTATCCTCTACTATAGCAAGATTCTATGCAGCAGCGGTAATTTTTCAACGGAAATCTCGGTGAGTAAGTTCATGTTTCTTCAATATTTGAATGCAAATAATAAGGAACCAAAGCGCACTAGGATGAGCTTCTAATAATCAAATCTAAACTGAAGGACACTAGTTAAAAAAAAAGATTTTCAATATCCATATTGTGGCCTTGCAAATTGAGAATCCATGTTTGTAAAGGAAATAGGATATGGACATCAGTTTGTAGAAGGGGTCACGATTACTTATTTCTATGAACCAGAAGTAGGAAAATTGAGAACTTCTAGTGCATACATACTTGTGATGGAGGAGGCTCTGGTGACATGAAAGGGTACCTAGGTTCAATCCCCTAGCGCTGCCTGGTGGCACCACATTGTTGGCAGCCCTCACCTCCACTAGGCCTAGCCTCTTCCCCACAACCGCCTCCTCACATTGTAGATTGTCCCAGCCATGTTGTCTCCAAGTTGAGCAATAGTTGCTTGTTCTCACTTCCATTAATCACCAGTGGCACAAGTGGTCGGGCATATTGAATTGTGGTTCCAGTTATCTGATATGTACCTAGCTGCAAGTGCTAATGCTGTTTTATTTTTTGGAACATGCTACATTTCTATTTTGCCTCAACTGCAAAAGCAACACAAACATCATCACATATTGCAAAAAGATTAGAGCATCTGACATTTGTTTCACATATGATTTGCAGCTCAGTTTGCTAGAGTCATTGCCGTCACTTGCTATACTTGGTTTTGTTCTTCTTCTTCCACTAGCTCTGCAATGGATAGCGCCAATGCTTAAAAGGGACTCAAATTCGTAAGTTAAATGCACTAATCACAAGTGAGCCCAACTTCAGTTTCTTTTTGGGTTCTTTCTTATTTGCTTGGCCTAATGGCCTTAGTTGCCTTGTTCTGAGATATACTCCTATAGATTGCCTGGTCTTTGATTTCATTTCCCCCTTTATATTTGAACACGAATAAAATCTATCCCTTTATTTGGTACTGGAGAAAAAATAGAGTTCAGCATTCAGATATTATCAAAAACACATGAAGTGGACAATTTTTGAAAATTTAAGAACAAACAAGAGCCAATGTACATTGGTGCAGGTTACATTTATTTTGTATGGAAAAGTATAACGTCTGTATTTCAATCACAGGTATAGATTTGTTTTTTTCTAAGAAAGTTTGCAGTGCTCTAATGTAGAGCCTAAGAGTTTTCAGTATTCAGAAACTATCTACATTAAGACACAAAAATTTGTACAGAACTGTCTGTTGTTGGTGAAGACACAGGTTTGGGAGATTTTCTGTATTACTTAGGCAGTGCTAACCGCAGCAGCTCTTTGGTTCCATATATAGAACTAGAACTCTACTTTACAGCTAGAAAGCATACCAATCTACTAACAACTAAAATGTTAAAGTAGAGATAAGATGCTATGACATAAGATTCTAACCACTACCACTTATCCTAGAATTGGAGCTCCAAGATATCAAGAACACAAGGCTTACTCTTTCACTGTCGACATATAAGATGAAAAAATTGCGAGTATTTGGCTGAATAATGTTTAGCTTATGGATGTTGCATTAATTCTGATCATCACATTTAGAAATAAGTATCAGTTTATATTACTGCAGATGTTTTGTTTTTTTATTGTAAATAAAGTTAGGGGACAAATATTGTATTACTTGATTGTTATTCTTATATTACATGAGTTTCGTGCAGGGGTTCTGTATGCTATAGCTGTTCGATTACTCTGCAAGATATGGGCTATGACTGGTTGGGCATTTCCAAACTTACAAGTAAGGATGCATTTTCAATTGGATGTTAAAACATTGTTTTTCTAATGCTGAGTACAAAAACTAAGTGAACTGTTAAAATGTTTGTTCCAAAACTATCTATGATCTGTTATGTTGAAAAAACTGTTCATTTGTTTTCAAACATGATGTACTTTATAAGAAGATAATCATGCCGTCTCTCACTAGAGTTTGCTATGTACTCCATTCCACAACATAAGTTGAAAGTTGACACCTTGCGTTAAAGGCATTAGTTGAAACCCACTGTAGAGAGACCAAGGAGGCACCAAAATCAATATGTAGGCCATGGACCTTGCATACCCCTTTTGAGTGACGTGCTACAACAGTACAACTAATCTCATTCACATCATTAAAATAGGGAAGCGAGTTACAATGACTGCACTTTTGATATCCTTTGGTGAACTTCTGCTGTGAATCAATGTATACCAATTAAAGACTTGCATTTTGAAATGGAGAGAGTTAAGTGGTCGAGGCCTTTACCAGTCTGTCTTCTTTTTTTCTTGTATATGCTGGAGAGCTGCGTATCATATCAATAATTAAGAACTAGTCTGTCCTCACGGGGCTTACATTTTTTCAGTATAGCTCTTTGTTATCATAGATTAAATTTGAGTGATCTTTTTCATATACCAGATTTTTTTGAGTGAAAACTGAAAACCGTATGATTCTATTTATATTAAATAGAAGTATACCAGATTTTTAGTTAATTGTTATTGTTGGTATACTAGATTAAATTTGAGCATGACTTCCAGTGATGTTTACTAACTATTATTGATGGTGAAACCACTGTCACAATATTTGAAGTCAGGGTTTTCATGTAACTCTACTGAAAAGTGGAAATCGTCAATATGATAGTTGCTAATTTCTGACTTTTAAGTTTTCCTGGAAAATTGTTACAAAATTGCTACTAACTTTGCCTTCTAACATAGGTAGTTCTGGATCCTGAGAATTTTTCCAATTTCATCTCTGACAGAGAGATCTCTGCAAGTATTGCCACATCAATACGCGATGTTTGCAAGCAGAACCCAGATAGAGGTGTTGATCTAATATTATCTGTCTCTGTGAGTGTTTTCTCTCTATTTTTTTCTGACCTCTATTGTTTAATTGGTCTGCTTTCTAACATGTAGTCAAATACCTTTAGTTTTGTATTGAGAGTCGTGATTCTGTAGTTCAAGCTCTTGGCCTGGAGAGCCTCTCGTACCTTTGTGAAGCAGATGTGGTTGGTAGGTTCAACTTTCTGATTTTCCATTAACCTAATTACATAGTTCTGAGCCTACAACAACAACAACAACAAAGCCTTTAAGTCCTAAACAAGTTGAGGTAAGCTAGAGTTGAAACCCAGCAGAAGCAATCAAGGTTCAGGCACGTGAATAGCTGTTTTCCAAGCACTCCTATCTAAGGCTAAGTCTTTGGGTATATTCCATCCTTTCAAGTCTCCTTTTATTGCCTCTACCCAAGTCAACTTCGGTCTTCCTCTGCCTCTCTTCACGTTACTATCCTGGCTTAAGATTCCACTACGCACCGGTGCCTCTGGAGGTCTCCGTTGGACATGTCCCAACCATCTCAACCGGTGTTGGACAAGCTGTACCTAGTAAGCTACGTTTCAACAAATTAGTAAGCTACTGCAAGTATAAATTACAATGTTATAAGAAGCCATGTGTTCTGAAAATTAGCAAGGGAGTAATTTTTGTGTAAGAAGTCATATTTGCTGGACCTCGCACCTGAAGTTAGCTCCTCACTTGTAGATTTCTACACAGCATGGAAAGTTATATCAAAGCAGGTGCTTGATTATTACGTTGAGCCTGCTGTTGCTCACAGGTAACAATGCTGACAAACATTTCACTGAATACATAAATGTGTCTGGTCTGGTGGACTGGTACCGACACTGTTCAGTTGTGCATTGATATTTGCTTCTCACTCTATGTTTTCTTGTTGCTTTTTGCAGTTTGTGTGTTCTGTTGAGGTGCGGAGCAATGGATGCTGAAGCATATTCTGGAATATCTAGTAACCTGCTAAGAACATTGTGGAGAATTGGAACATCCAAGAAAAATAATCCCGAACCTCTCTGGGATAAAGCAAGAGGAACTGCTTTTCACTCCTTGTCCAACTACAAGGTTATACTATGATTCTTTGTTCTATGTTATGTGTTTAACTGCTAATTTTTTGTTGAATTCCTATTTCAAATTTTCATGTTTTTTTTAACAATGGGTGTTTTACAGGTCTCACTTATTCAAGATGCTATTCCCGATTTCTGGAAACTAAACTATGAGTTCTTTACGAATGAACATAATTTGGCAGTTCTCAAGGCCATGGAGCACCTTCAAGATGAGATCATCAAATATGAGCACATGTTAGTATATTTATTGTCGTTCTTCTGAATTCAGATGCTTAGTGACACTCTTAACTAATGAACCCTGTTCACATAGAAATCGTCGTCGAGTGACTACCGATCAAAGAGCTGAAGTGCATAAATTTGAGAAGCTACTGGAGGTTTTCTCTCAGGCCGTATTTAAAGGTAAGCTAGTGATCTAGTTGGACACTTAGTTGATGACTGGAGTGTTGAATACTTGAATGCATTCTATTTTGTCCATTCATATGTCAGAGCAAATACTTGAGCCTTTTCTATCCTATATGTATTCTATATGAGAAATGCATAGTTTGTTCTGTTCTGTTTTTAAAAGAATATGGTGTCAGTTTCATCTTTTAGATTCCATTTGACTATTGCTTTCGAATTGCAGGGATGTTATCTCATCATCAGTTGCCTGGTGCTGCTCTTTTAACTCCCAATTTTACTCCAAAGGACATACTTAATGAAGGGAAACCTAAGGTTATAATTCTTTAATGACAGTTGATGCTATTTTATCTTAGTCACCACTCATTGGAAAAGCTGAATCATTCTCATGGTATATGTTATTTGTGTTTCCTGATCTCATTCGCAGGATTTGCCTAGAGTTCATTCTGCTTTTGATCAAGCTTTTGTTGAAATTGCTGAATCTATGTATATGTCAAGAAACATAGCGGTAGCTCTTCTTGCCTTGCAGTCATGGAAGTCATTTGTTTCCAACTGGATGCAAGCAGTTGTGGCATTGCTTGACATTAAAGAGCCGTCGAAGTTGAACAAAGCAATGAAAGCCGCTAATGATATATTTAAGGTTTATATTTATATCTTTAGCGTATTCCTTGTTTCCTTTGTATCTGTTTGTTCCACTCTCAGTGATAGTACTCTTATTGAAACAACAGTTTCTAGGTTTGATGTGTATCAGCTGTCTTGTTACAGGAGCACAGTTTCAAGGTGTATACTGTGCCTCATAGTTTTCAAAAGAACTGATACTTTTTAATAATCTAATTTTCAAGGTGCTGAACTGAAAGAATTATGGACACCTGAGTATTTTTTATTGTGACATGGGACAAATATTATTGTGTATGATGATTTGGTTTATTTAGCACATACTTGATTGTGCTCCTTTATCCTTCCTTTTTGCGCTTGTCCCCTGCACTAACTTCATTAATCCTTACCATGCTAACACTAAATTTCCATATGTTTTCCTATTTGTGATTGCAGATTCTGTGCGATCAAGTTCCAGTATCTACTCCTCAAGTTGCAGTTAACATAGCTCTTGTTATTGGAGCACTGTGCTTGGTAAGGGGTCTTTATTCACATTTTATTAATTCCTAAGTATATACAGATTCTATGGTATGAAGTATGATATAATTGATTTTTCCGCCTATTGTTTTACCAATTCTCTCCTTCCACCTGTGAACACATTTCAAGTATCTTTTCCTTGTCTCTGGCCCATAAGCTCTGATGTATTCTTATGATTTTACCGGTGGTTGAGGGATGTTTTACTAATTTTGTTGTATTCGATGTTATCTTATTTCTAGATTGTTCCGCCAACTGCTCATTTGGTAGTATCTTCGGCATCAGATTTTCTTTTAAAATGGTTGCTTCAATACGAGCATGAGCACCAGCAATGGTCAGCAGCTCTCTCTCTTGGACTAATATTCAATTGTTTTAATCCTACGGACAAAAAGAGCAGACTTCAGGTTATTAATGGGTTTCTTGAGGTATCAAATGTCGTCTCCACTCATATTGCATTTCTTTTTTTTCTAGAAAGTGATGGATTGCTAGATGCCTAGATGTTAGCAATTTGTTGCTCCATGTTCAGCGCCTTAACATACTTGCAATAACCTCATAGGCCGTGTGACACCATATCATAATTATAAAATATGGGAGATCATGGAGATACCACCGCTATCTATGTTGTAGCCTTGTAGGCTCGTAGTAACTAGTCGCTCTCCTACTGTCATGTACTCCTGTGTCACTGTGCGTAATGATTGTTTTACCGAACCAGATCAGAATTCAAGGTGACTGGATCATTAGGATCTTATTATGCCTTGCTTCATGCCTCATCCCAGCGAAACAATGTTCATGATGCTGGAAGCTGGAGCAGGACCAGTCCATGTTGCAATTGGCTACGGCTGCTGGCAGCTTAATTTCAAATACAATTTCTCCTTATTCAATGAATGCTACACAGTGTAGCCGCACCCATTCATGAAATTTTTCATCTTCTACATTTTGTGCTTGTTGGGTATGATATGCAAACTAATGTATAGTTGTTTGGATGATACATTCAGGATACTTCGAAGTTTAAACTTATGTGGTGTATACTTTCTCATTGTGTCTTATGCCTTTGCACATTTAGGTTATCTCAAAAACTGAAAGCTGTCTTGTAAAAGGAGCTTGTGGACTGGCATTAGGCTATGCTTGCCATGGTCTTTTGACAAGAGCACATAATGCTACTGATTCAGAAGTAGAGGCTATTACACAACTCAATGAGCGTGCATCAGCTGAGGATATTCTTCATGCTTTGGTTACTTCGTTAATTCAGCTATGTCCATCCTCATGCTATTCTCTGAAGAAGCTTAGTATATATGGAATATCCTCCATGGGAGGGATGGAAGAAAATATTCATAGCTTCGGCGATGATCCTTGGGCTGTCGCTGGGCTTGTTATTGGTCTGGGAAACTCTGTTGTTGCTCTGTATAGACTTGGAGCTTATGAAGCAGTTACTGAAGTCAAGGACATATTGATATCATGGATACCAAATGTTGATTCGAACTCTGCATTATTTGATGAAATAGATTCAATATCACTATGTATGGGTTCATGTCTTGCTCTTCCATCTGTCGTGGCTTTTTGCCAAAAAGTGGAGCTGTTGAATGAAGACTTGGATGCATTGTTCAATCGCTACACTTCTTTAGCTTCTGAGCTCCTGAGCCTGAATAAATCTGGGATTATCTTTTAGAATTTGTTGATGGCAATCTGTATTGGTGCTGGATCTTTCCTGTCTTCTATATTGGATGATGGGGTGCATGCTATGGAATTTAATGGTGTTAAAAGCCTTCTGGACACTCTCATACATATATATACCCACCCCTTTCCTCCCCTTGTTCATTTGGGAGGCATGTTTGGTGTAGTCAACGCTTTTGGTGCTGGCGCACGGGATCTTACTGGGGTGTTTTCAAAGCCTATGACTTCTCAAATCAAACATGAGGTCTCCTTCATACATCTTAACACTTAGTGCTCTATAAAACTGTTCGAATAATCTATTTAGTTGTGTGCACAGGAGTCATCTTTTGTGAGAGGTCCATTACTGACAAGCCCTGTTGGTGAGACTCTGTCAACATCAATGATTCAGGAAATATTTCTTCTTGCTAAGGATGCTAAGGATAAGCACATACGAGATTATGCTGCATGGGCTATTTCATTTCTCAGAAGCAGGTGGTCAAAGAATCAGAATCAGATTCTTTATGAGGACAATGGTTCTAATAGAAGTTCTGGTGATCGTGATCAAGCTTCAAGTTTTTCTGAACAAAGCTTAGTTTGGAACTTAAGTCTCTGGTTGAGTGATCTAAAATTTGAAAAGGTCTGATCTGAATCCTTAAAAGAATGACTACAATGCTCTCATCTGTTAAAATATGTAGCTTAGCTTTTGTATGTCAAATGTACATATTTGTTTCAAGGTACATATTTTTTTTTTAAAAAGATTTCTTTTATTCGCCATAGATGAACTAAGCTATGCACATTTACATGATGAATTGTATATTTAAGAACCTAAGTTAGTATATGAATGTGTATCATTATTTTCTGACCTAGGCATAAATGCCAAACTTGAAATACGAAGCAAACTACGAGCTGTGCTTCTTATCAATCTTCTCATGCTTCTTCCTGACACTTTGGTTGCATGCCTTTTACTGCTGCAGTGGGTAAACCGACGTTTTACTTGCAAAGAATCTCTACTAATGCATACTCATTTGTCTATATACATTATTTCATTGGATTTGATGCAAAGGTTAATAGGTTAATATTGTCTATAGCCTGAAAAATGTTGCAAGTCATAACTGCATAAGACAGTTGTAGACATTAGTTTTAGTGTGGCTATTAAGTTATGATTAGTTACATTTTTTTCACTACGGTCGGTATCACTTTTAATTTTGTTGGGTTGGATAAGAAAATCATATTTAATTTTTTTTTCTAGTGACTTCTGTCATTTTATTATCTACAGTCTGGTGATGTGGTGCCAATAAGTACAGTTGGAACAGTTTTAAAATGCCTTTCCAGAGCTCCTCGATTGCCAACTACAGACTGGGGAGCTATTGTATGGCGGTGCATTAAAGTTGAGGCGCAGATTCCTCATAAGTTAACCAATCAGGAAGATCCTAAGTTACTAAAGGAAGCATGCTTATATTTGACTCTAGCTCATGCTGCTCACATAAGTCCCCTTCTGCAGTTTTTGGATGATCTGACTGACATACTCAGATTCCAGAGATTAGATATAAATGTTCAGTCTATTTTGCTCCAACATTTGTCACACCTAATGAAGCTCTTCTCTGATTCAAGATTGGATAAACTTTATGAGGATTTTACTGAATACTTGTATTCCCCCACCTCTTCATACTTGAATTACTCATCTGAACAGAGAAGCATGCTAAGAATGTCGTTCTCTTGTTGCCTCTTTTGACACTCCACAGTGATGGTCAACCTGAATTCATGAAAGAGTGGTCTGCTGCTATCAGGTGTCTTGCCAACGCCCAGAAAAATTGGCTGGATGATATGCTGCAGGTTCTCAACAGCACAGATCTGTTCTTTATGAACCATTCTCCGTGAATGGTATATTTTATTTTAGTAGGTTTTTCTTGCGTTTCACAGTTCTATGTTAACCTTTCCTTTCAGATTCGCAATACTGCCTTAGTCAATGAAGAAGGACATGTTGATGTGGCAAAAAAGATTATCCTCAGAGCAAGATTGTGTGCAACTGGTTGTGGTTCAGCACATGAGCTGGGAAATATAGAGACGGCAATATTGTGTACAAAAGCTGATGGTAACTGCATTCCTTTTGCTGTGGTTTATGGATGCCTTCGATTTTCCATTGAATTCTGTTATCTTTTCTCACCCATCCTACAATAGTTGTAGGCGATCTATATATTATTTTGAAAAGCTAATGAATATGCTATTTCAGGTGTCTGGTGGAGTGTCCTTGTAGAGATCACTGGAGCCTTAAACTCAGCCGAAAACAGCATCAAAAGGCAGTGGCTTCTGGATGCATTAGACATTGGCTGTGTTACAGCTCATCCCTCAACGGTAATTATTGCAGATGATATGTTGGAATGTGTGGATGGGTGCTTATTCTCAAAAGTTGCTTCCCTGCAAAAACAAACATTCTTAAAATTTCTCGTTCTAATATTTCAGGTGCTGCGTTTTGTTGGCTTGTTATGTGGTAGCTGCTGCATCTATATGCCGCTTCTCGTTGTTAATTCGATAAATGTACTGAGTGACTTGCCTGTCACCCTGCCTTCCTTTCCCTCCACCAGCGTTTCGGATGATTTCAGGAACTCTGTGGCAGACAGGCTATGGTTGTTGACCACTAACATCTATACTTGGGCTGAAGAATTGGCTCACGGACACAGCCAACCTGGACATGATCATATTCATAGAAGTGAAGCTGAGATTGTGACTTTTTTGGCCAATATTCTGCGCTCTACATGCATTGCAGTCGGGGACTACCTGCCTGTTGATAAGCAGCTAAAGCTTGCAAATCTTGAGGCGCTCTAATTAAAGGGAGACGTGTTTCCTTTTCTATTTTGTGTACAGTATCAGTCATGTTTCAATAGTTGATGTCCTTGCTGACAATTCAGCAATGTTTTTTTTTCCATGTATATAATTAGTTTAACCATCTCACCTTATGCACTAAAAAAAATCTATTGTTCAAAGATTGAAGTATGACCTATGAAATAATATTGTTTTGTACACTATGTCATACTGTCACTGAACAATTTAAGAGCAGTTTACTGATGCCTTACAATTTGATGGGAGCAAACTTTTGAGGTAGTAAGAGAGTTTATCAGACTATAGCTGAGATGTAAAGGCTCCCATGCAGTTTACTTGGATTATGCCATAACATAAATGAGTCCAGTCGCAATATTACATTTGCCTTGAGCTCAGAGATCCTGTTTTCTGCATCTTTCCAGAACAATGTTTCTCTAATTGTGTTGCATTAATACGATACAGGGTGTTTTGCGTTCAGAGTCAGGATCGGAACTGAACTTGCTTACCCTTCTGTCTAAGAAAATTGTCATTGTGAAGTGCAATGTGCATCCCAATTTTTGGTAATCCAGCTGCTCTAGAGGTGGTCAAATTTCAAATGAAACCACCTGCACTTGAAAGGTTGGTTAGGGTAATATCTTTAATCTTCTTAATTAAATTGGTGAATACATCTTCAGGTGCACGCTCTAACCAATTCTTGCTTAAGTCACAATCCGATTATATTATAGAAATGTTCCACACAAAAAGCCGTCACTAATAATGATTCTCATTCTCTCACAAAGAAGCCCATAAGCATCGTATTTGATTCTTCAATTCCCACATACTGTTTCCTTAAAGCTTCTTTGATTGACTTTTTTGGGTGGGACCTTATCATAAGAACTTATCGGTATTTCTAAAAATAGAAAAGAAACTAAACGGAGAATGTCTAGAAGACTTCTTTAAATATATATCAATTGACAAGTTGCATGGGGAAGCTAGCCCTGTTCTGCCTACAACTTTAAAAAAAAAAAACTTCATCAAGAAAAGGTGCTCTGTTATGCAGTTGTTTGGGAGCTAAAATGAAAACCGGAACCGGGAAATTTCTATTTCGTCCTGGAAAGTAAAAATAAACCGAATAGACAATGTCAAATCCAAGGTATAGATAGATGTGGCTGGATGTCACTTTTGGACATAGGTAGCTTCCATCTTGCCCACAGCCCTTGTACGGACGAATGAAATATAGATGGAAAGCTAACGGAATCAATATCTAGTATTCTAGTCCCATAGCTGTTGTTGATATAGTAGCGTGCCCTTCCAGTCACCCAAGATATGCTTTCTCCTAGATTCTCCTATCGTGATCAATCCCCCCTAATATATCGCGACAATATATGCTGGCACCCGCGGCTACCTGCACTCATCTCTCTGAAGCTGTTCCAATGAAAGAACTAACTGGATGTGTCCAGAAACCTTGCTTGGTTACACTACTTTCGAGTATGATATTTCTTGATGTAGTACGTCTAATTAACGGATTCTGCCAAACATTCTAATTATCAAAGCCATGTCCTTTCGCTTTCACTTTATTTTATCCTCCAAGTATTACATTACATGGACCAATCATAGCACCTGGCCCCAGAGCGCAACCAATCACATGGACATGGCTGCTAGATCACTTCAAGGCTCAATAGTTTATCCTTGTGTGGCTGTCAAGGTTTTTGGGGGGATTTAGACAAACTGCGCTAATGATGGTCATGAGTTGCAGAAAATATTTTTCATATTAAAGGGGATCGAGTTTATTGAGGTAAATGATTTGTGTGTAATTTTGTTTGCTGAAATGAAATTCAAGGATGCATGGTAATATGAGTAAGGATAAAAATAGAGACAGGGATATTTTATTTTTTTGAAAAACTGAAAAACTGAGACAGGGATCTTACACGGTCACATGAACCACTTTTGCTTAGGGCTTCTCCAGTGGAGAAAACAAATCGACTCATCGTCCCACGTGTCATCAACATGAGTCGATTCGACGACTGGAGCATACCGAACCATGGATGGCAGACAGGAGAGTCGATGCAAAAGTTTGCATCGGTTCATCAACAGGCATTAGCAACAAAAAAAAATGATTTTTTGCAAATGATTTTTTGCAGTCCGCCTGAGGGCCTGATGAGGCCATCTCCTCCCTTCTGCTGTCGCGTCAGAGGGCTCCATGCATGTCTCTGCTCCATCGACTCACCACTGGAGGACTGTGAATCGATTGTTGGATGCATCAAATCATGGCTTAGGTGGCACTCTCTCTCCTGAAGAAGTCGACTAACGACTGGAGCTGCCCTTAGGCACTGCTTGAAGATTCCTTGGGCTCCATATTAACAGAAAAAACCGCATTCTTAATTAATTTTTCCCCAGTGTACAAATTATGGAAGAGGCCCTTAAGCTCTGATGATGTTGCTGTTTTACTGGACCCTTTGAACTGACTTGTGAATTCTGGTAGGACTTACAGCCTGTTCGCTGGTCGGTTTCTGGGCTGATAAGCCCGGTTGGTGCTGGTCTGTCGTGAGAAGAAAACACTGTTGACTGGCTGATAAGCTCTGGCTGAAACCAATAAACGAATAAGCTGAAACTGCTCTGACGTAAATAGTACGCCCTGGCTCCACAGTCCACACACAACGCAAGCGCCGGGATGCAGCCAAAGCTGTTTGTCAAGGTGGCCTCAGATGATCGTGTCATTGGAGGATCAGCATGCCGCAGCAGCTTGCTCCAATCAACCATCCCCGCTATGCTTCGACAATCAACGTGCAGCTCTGCAGGCGAAGGTCAGTACCGTGATGCTATATTTGGTAACTATTATCTGCATAATGCACCACACTAACAAAACAAAACCACCTGCAACATGTCTTGTGATCGAGAAGGGTTTGAACGCATGCGTGCATGGCTCTGAACCATAGCCAGGGTAGCCCCATGCATGCATGCATGAGCTGGCCAGACAGACAGGATTCTCTAGCTAAAGGTACGGTTCCATGCACGCCCGTGCACAACCACTCCACCCCGCCCCACCCTGTACGCCCCTAGTGACCAGAATTCAAAGGGACTGTTCCCTCCTACAGTGCAAGTGTAACCTTGAATCTGTACCACAAGGACCCATCAGCTCAGCTCACCACAACCCTCCCTCCCGCACAGCCATAGCCCATAGATATGTATGCATCAGCTTTCACAAATGTTCACACGCTAGCTAGTTGGTACTTTTTCATATGAATGCATCACCTCCCCCTCCCTCTTCTCTCTCTTTCCTTTTTCTTTTTTATAAAAACTAATCTATTTGTAGATTGAAGGGAGCCTTGTTCCAACTTAGCATTAAGCTTCAGGATTAGTTCAAACTGTCACAACTCTCTCTTTTCTTTTATTTTTTTTAAAACTAAGCTACTTGTAGATTGAAGGGAGTCTTGTCCCAACTTATTGAGCTTCATTCAGGATTAGCTCAATCTGTCAGAGGTTTGAGCCTTATATATATATATATATATATATATATATATATATATATATATATATATATATATATATATATATATATATATATAAACTAAGTATATGGATAGAATATTTTTTTTTAAACAAGAAATTAAGATTATTTTTTCTCTATATAAAGCCGGAGTCCTCCACCCTATTTCTTTTCAAAGGATCGGAACTGACTCATAAAAAGCCGAGCCACACATTTTCAAAAAAAAAAAGGGGGGGGCGAGCCATCCCAAACATGCCTATGGGCTATGGCATGGGCTACGGTCTGGCAAGCTACAGACAACTACTAGCTGCTGTTTCCACTGAAAGATTTGCGATTTTGTTGGCGATGACTGACGAGCGTGAGTTTTTAGCACTTGGATGCAAGTTGCTAGAGGATGCAGCTCAAAAAGAAAAGGCAGGCATGCTAGGTCGTGAACCTGGGAAAGGCTGCAGCCATGCATGCATATGCAGACACGAAGCGTAGGGACTAGCTAGCCCTAGCTTAGCTCAGTACCCTCTGCCTCTCTTCTCGATCGGCCCCCTCCCCGGCTCCCTTAGCTAGGTCCAACGATTTGATGTCTGTGGATTTCAGGATCGAAATAATGTTGGTGTACTAGGATAGTGGCTTGCACACGATCTTGTGTGTTCTTACGGGGGATCTTATGAGAGGATCTGTTGGCCTTTTGTAAGTTGCATTTTTTTTACTTAATATAATAATCTTTACGGCGGCAAAGATTTAGTTGGTGTTGATGGGTATGTTAGCTGTCGCCCTTTCTTCAATCAAACTTCCTTTAAGCCCTTGGAGGGAGATGAGAGCCCAACCCTAGCCCCTGGCGGGTTCTCGTGTGCCGCCGCCGCCATCGGCGCCGATTCCCCCTCCCCTGCCACCCCCTCTCCTCCTCCTCCCGCAACCGCTCCCACCTCCCCCTAGTGAACCCCCTCCAACTAGCCGGGCGCGGGCCCGGCTAGGACCCGACCCCTAGCCTCCTCCCCACTGCCACCACCGGCGGCGTCGGTTGACGCCGACACCGGCGCCGCCTCCACCTCTCCCCCCTCCCCCCTCCCCCGCCCCAGATCCACCTCGTCCTCCCGTCCTTCCACTCCCTGGACGCCCACGGGCGTAGGTGCGCCCCGCCGCCGCCGCCCGCGTCGATCTCCCGGGCACCAGCTGCGGCAGCCACCCTTCCACCGTCGGCTGCCTCCCCTGCGTCGGATCCCAACGACGATGACATCGGCGAGGACCGAGCGGGATCTGGCGCCGGTTCCGGAGGGATGGAAGCGCTCAACATCCCCGAGGCCTCCCCATCGCCCACCTCCCCCAGCCCGCTGGCCGCCGTCCTGGCATCGACGGCCACCCAGCCACCCTCGGGCTCCTCCATTGGTAAGGGGCCAACCTCCCTCTCCCCCAACGCCACCCCTTTCTTCCCCACCGGGAACCCAGGGCGCTCCAAGGCCATGAGGTGGGCCGCGGAGTCCGACATCTCCGTCTACGACACCGACACCAACACCGACGATGACGCCGAGTCTGCGCAGCCATCTCA